TGTAATATCCTTTGTAATAAATAAAAAAAAAAGTAAAAAAAAAAAATAAAACTGAAATGAAAAAAAAAAGAAAAGAAAGCAGCATAATAGCTAAAGTTTATCGTATATAACAAAAGAGAAATATGTAAATTGACCATCCCTTTGTTACGCTCACCAGCCAATCAGGGTGAATATGCAAATTAACCCAACAAAGATGGTGGGTTAATTTGCATACATAGGTGCTGGGCGGAGAGCAGAAGCAGGAGAGCTGGCAGCTTGGGGGGTCGTGGCTCCCTTGGTCGCTCCCAGTGTGGGGAGCACCAGGAATTCTGGAATTAGTAGTTCTGATGGCAGCCCCCGGACTGGAAGCGGAAGCCCAGAGTGCAGGGAGCATCAGGAATGCTGGGAATCATAGTTCTGATGGCAGACAGATCTCCTAGACACTAGAGCAAAGTGAGCCTGGAGTAAGTTACTGTTGCAGTGGGGGATGGAGGGAAAGCAAAGATGAGAGACATGAGTAAAATCAGAGTGTCTAGGAAAAATTAAAGGGAAGATATCCTGAAACTTCCAGGAAATCTCCACCAATGGAGCAAAGAAAAAAAATGCCTCTGTTATTCTGTGAGCAACAAACCAAACTGGGTTGGGGGTCTCAGACAATTCGCTCATATGATTGCAAAGACAGGCAGAAATTCCCGGATTGGAGAGGGCTCCTCTGAGGGCTCCCAGATTGGAGAGGGTGCAGGTTGGGCTGAGGAACACCCCCACCCCCATGTACAAATAATTAACATTCTTCAACCAGACCCTAGGTCTCAGGCATTCCTAGAATTTAACATCAAGTGTATGACTAGCAGTCCCACTCATTTACAGTTTATGAGGTCTCTTACTACAGCAACTCCCAGGGATGTACCTTTGTTTTTTCTCCATTTGTCACTACCATATCTTCAATGGACAGGATCCTGTTGCCTATAGGGAGATAATTTTTCAGAGTCTCATCAGAAAGCTGGATCCGCTTGCCTCGTTCCATACACCTAGGAAAGAATGAGATTGCATTTAAAGTCTAGTCAATAAAAAGGGTATGAAGCATAACAAGTACTGCAGATAGTGTGTCTTCTAATCTACGAAGATATCACAAAAATTTAGAAGACAAAATACTCAGGGAAGGCCTATCTAAGGAGGTGACATTTGAACAGAGTCCTATAAGAAATCAAATATGAGTCATAAAGATTGTCACAAAGATTTCTGGGGTAGACAATTACAGATGAAGGGTAGAACAAACATAAAGGTCCTGAGCTAGCAACATGGCTGACACATCAGAGGAGCAAGGATTCCTGTGTGGCTAAAAGTCCATGAGCATAAGAGTAAGTATTATTGTTATTAATCTATACCCACTTTTCTAGGCTGTTATAGAATATGAAGCCCTATAAAATTCTCCTTCACTGATATCTCCTCCTGAATGAATTTTCTTACTCTGAACCTTAAGCAAAGAGAAGAGGTTTATGAGAGTTCTGGGGAGCTGTTGATCAGCCAAGATATCCAGAAAAGCAGATTACTACAGGGAATGATAATGTACTACACTTATACTCAGCAAAACTGCAATTCCATTCAAGCACTGCCAGCTTGTGTGGCTTCTTATAGCTCACTTCCCCTTTTCTGAGACTTAGTTTAACAGTTGTCATAACTGTTAAATGCAGCTGATATTAGTTACATTGTGGACTTATTTGGAGATCTTAATAAGCACTTGAAATGTTCTGTAAGTATAGACTGTGAAACTTTGACACAAAGTTTCAAAGACAATATGACAAAATAATGAAAATATCTCATTTATATTTTATATTGACTGGTTGTGAAGTGACAATATTTTTATATATTGGGTTAAATACAGCATTAAAAGTTTGCTTTTTTACTTTGTATAATGCAGCTACTAGAAAATTCAAAGTTACATATGTGGCTTAGGCTGGTAGATACAGTCTACAAGTAGACTAGTAGACTGGTTATGCATTATATTTCTGTTGCCTAACTGCATAGCTGGCTCCTATTGTTTAAGTCTGAGGTTAAGTATTTTTCCCTCATAAAATCTTTGTTTTCTAAAATATGTTGTTTTTTTTATTCAAAGTAGGCCCTGCCCCCTTATACTCCTTTTTTGTCATTTGTGTACAATCAAGATTTGAATCTCTAAGAAAACTCATGATATGGCTACTATTTGCTCCATTAAATTTTCATATAAATGTGAGAAATATGGACCAGTATGGTTTCTAAAATAGAGGAGGTACTCAGTAAATGTTTACTTAATGAAAACTTTGTTGAGAGACACTTGGACAAGGCATTTTCTTTTTAAAAAATATATTTTTATTGATTTCAGAGAGGAAGGGAGAGCTAGAAACATCAATGATGAGAGAGAATCATTGATCAGCTGCCTCCTGTACACCCTGGGGACTGAGCCAGCAACCTAGGCATACACCCTGGCTGGGAATCGAATCCTGACCTCCTGGTTCATAGGTGGATGCTCAACCACTGAGACACACTAGCCAGGTGGAAAAGGCATTTTATCAGGGGAAGCATTCACTATATCCTCCTCTTTTCTTCCAAATAGAAAGGTGCAACAACAAAAAAAGTAACTGGATTTACTGCATCTCAGCTAAGTGAGAACAATGGAAGTCACTTGGGAATTATAGAATGTCAGAGCAAGGAAAGGCAGCAGGGCAGAACCAAAATAAGTAAGAGGCTAGGACCACTGTTATTCTCCCCATCCAAAAATCTTATCCTGGTGCCTACTGAGAAGAGAAAAGTATGCTCTCCAAGTACGTATGTGTAGGCAGGAAGCAACTGAGTGGAGCTTGCTTGTAAGAGCTGGCTGAAAAGTACCTGTGAGACATAGACTGCCAGCACTTCTATTTGAAGATCTAGGCCTTGGTCTGATAACTAGGTCCCCTTAATTTCCCTTAAAACCAAGGCCACATCTTAATGCTCTGGGCCTTCCAAATTGGATTTCCTAGACATTCCTGTTTAGAGTTTAAATATCCCCTAGTGATACCCCCTAATTCATTACCATGTTCCTAAAACTCAACCTTTAGCACAGTGCAGCAGTGAGTTAATAAGATGAACTCCCCTGGTCAGCTAGTATGTCATCCTTCAGACAACAACAAAAACCTGAGTGGACTGTCCTCCCCACTCTTTCAGAGTTATGGCAAAGCAGAGAGTTTGTCATATATGTCAAGCCTATAGGGAGGTTTTGTGGTAGGAGATGGATGAGCATTAATGAAGTTTTCTTAAATACGGACTATTCTGGGACTTGGGGGAAATCACTTCACTTCTCTAAATTTTCCTTTTATTTTTTCTAATTTTTAAAAATTTATTTATTGATTTTTTTTTAGAGAGAGAGAGAAGAAGAGAGACACACATAGAGAGAAACATCACTTTGTTGTTTCACTTAGTTGTGTGTTCATTAGTCGCTTATTTTATGTGCCCTGGCTGGAGATCAAATCTACAACCTTGGCATATCGAGACAACACTCTAACTAGCTGAGGTATCCTGGCCAGTATCTTTTTTCTAATTCTTATAGGGGCCACAGGTGACTCATTGTCCCAGAGGTGACTGAAACAGACACTTTGAAATAGAGTTTATTGCCACAGAGCAAAAATCAAAGTATCTAATATGTTCCAAGCATATGATAGGGCTTTTATAAATGGAAGCTCTTAAGAGGTAAGAGTCAGGATGCCTGGCTCTCTTTGTGACATCTCTCTTGACTTCTGTATTGTGTCAAGTGAGTCATTTATCTCCCTAAGCCTCCATATCTCCATTTGTTACTGGGCAAGAAGAATCTCTGTCCTACCTTCTACACTAGAATCACAGAAGGTTAATGAGTGTGCTGTGATCTAAAACTGCTACTTGCTGCCCTGACTGGTTTGGCTCAGTGGATAAAGCATCGGCCTGCGGACTGAGGGGGCTCAGGTTCGATTCCGATAAAAATGCTACTTGCTAACAGATTTTCCCATTGTGGGATTATTAATTCAATCAGGTTTATAATGTAAACAGTTCTCAAACAAGTGAGACATGTCCACTTTTTAACCCCATTACTGATTTTTTTCCATGCAATGACAAATATTTGGAAACCTGCCCTATTCTATTTCTCTTCCACTTAAATCTTCAGTCACAATCTAAATTTCTCAGGCCTGTGAACCATAACAATTACTTCAACCTCTAATTTGAAGCTACATTGGCCAAAACCTGGTGTTTGGTGGCTATTGGAGTACTACCTCTTCTTTTAGAATCCAGGCCCCATTCCAAGATCACTGACAGCACCTGTGATATCATATGGAAGAGAAAATCTTCTGGTAAGTTCTTAAAACTGCCAGTCCTTTGTACCTGCAACAGTAAACCCATGCAGGGTCCTTTGGCCTGCAAGTCACTTACAGATCATCTTTCTGGCTGCAGGGCTCCCAAGCCCACATAAAGGAGGGCACAGGCAGGCCACTTGCTGTACAGCGAAGGATGTTCTCACTGCCTAGGAGTATTGGCTGAATGTTCTTCAAATCTGTATCCTTCTCGTAGATCTTGGGTTTTTCTGGACAAGAGGAGAAAATGACAGAGATTAAGGTCCCACATCAGGGCTGATATTTTAGCTATACTACCATTACAGGAATACCAATGGTTAGAATGTTGAAATATTTCTACATCAGTTTAAAAATACTTGCTGTCCCTAGCTTTCTAAGAGCCCTCTCCTCACTACCTATCCTGGTCCCTCCCCATGAATAGACCCTTCCCCCATGTCATCCCCGTGACCCAGCAACTCAAAGGTTAATATCTGATGCAACAGAGACATCTAACATTCCATGCTTGCACTAAAGCATGACCTGGTTGGCAAGTCCTGTGCCCTACTTGTGATTATTTTTAATATTTCACCTCTTGTAGGCACAATAGAGCCCTGTTGTAGAGAAGTAAATCCAAGGCTCCAAGTGGCAGAAGGTGTGTATTTCAAAATAGTATTTTGGATTGGTAGTTTACTAAAGGCAGGACTGACATCAGGTTCACCTCTGAACCCTGGGCACAAAGTCAGTGCCTAAGAGTTATATGTTGAACTTAATTGCAAAAGCTAACAGTAGGCTTTTTTTATTTTCAGTAACATTTATTGTTTGTCTTTGGATTTAAGACAACCAACAACAATAATAGAGTTCTGCATGATTTGCAGGAATCTCATTTCTGGGTTCCTTACCTATATATCCAACTGCTTGCTTTACTTCTCTAGTTGAAAGATAATACTAATAACATCAATGCTACTAATACTACTAATAGTTGACTGAACTAGGTGCAAGGCATTGCTTGGAGCACTTTATGCAAATGAATTCATTTAATCCTCACCCTGTGAGGTTGATATTGTGTTTATCCCTACTCACAGATAAAGAAATTAAAATGTTAAGTCGTTTTCAGAAAGTCACTCAGCTAGTAACTGGAAGAGCTGGGTTATGAACTCTGGTAATCTAGCTCTAAAGCCTTCTCTGTCCCATAAACATCACAAACTCAATATTTCTAATAATAATAATAAATATCAAGCATATATAGCACTTACCAAGTCTTAGGAACTGCTTTTAAGTGCTTGTTATAGATAGTATCTCATTTAACTTCATAACATCCCACTAGGAATACACTTCTGTTAGCCCTATTTTACAGATGAATAAACTGAGATGCAGAGAGATGAAGTAACTTGCCCAAGGTTGGTAGAGTGAGCAATTAAACCTAGATAATATAACTCAAGCACTCAGGTTTATAAACACTACACTGTGCCTCCATTCAAATATAAAACTCATTTCCCCTTCACCCCTATTCATCTTAATTTCAGTAATCTTTTCAGTCACCTCAGTCAGAAACCCATATATCATACTTGAACTCTCATTCTCCCTTACTTCCACATTCCACCAACCACTACAAGAACAGAAACTCAGTAACAGCTGAAACTCTTATCAGTGTTTCTCCCCACTTTACCTCCTTATTTTAGTACAGTCAGTGCTAGGTGCATTGTAAGGGCTCAATAAATTCATGTTTAAAAGTGTTAGTCCAGAGTCCTGTGTCATGTGATAGAGCAAAATTCCACTCTGCTTTCCAATGTTGCTGTCTCTAAAGTTGCTGCAAGATCCTCAAATCTTATAAAAAGTGGGGATATGGTTTGGTAGTTTGAGCATTTCTATTTAAAACTAATCTGAGTTGTGCTTCTTCCTAGAAAATGTAAGAGTTAACTGACAGGCCTTTACTACATTCACAACAAAAAATTCTCAACATGATGGGTTGGAGGGTAGACTAAACAGGTTTCTTTCAGCCTTGTCTAATGCTTTTTTTTCCTGGGGATTGTAAACACAAACTGTTGCCCACTGATTCTCCCTTGGCAATCTGCCTTCAATTTTTCTCCTGCTCTCTCCTTCTCCCCTCCCAGGACTGACCAACTTTAGCTTGTAGTCCAAGATCAGCAATATCTTTCCTTTCCTGCTTCATGTGGCTGTTACATCAAACTCTAAAAGGGTTCTCACCTTCTTTAAATATCTCTTGATGAGAGTGGAATAACTGGAAAGTTGGCTCTTTTAGCCTGTGAAACACCAAATTCTAGGAAAAGAACTGCGAATATATATGTGTGTCTCTGGCTGAGAGTAATACTGCCCTTGAACCTGGTCCTCACAATGACTACCTCTAGCAATAGAATGTCTATTCCTGGCTCCATATGGAGTCAGTACCACCTCCCCGTCACGCAATTTCCTTGTTCTACTCCCTTTCCTTTGTTTAAAGCAAGTAAAATAAGGACAGTCACAGGATTTCCTCTGGTAAATTAATTTTAGGATCAACATGTATTTTCCCCATTTTCCATGATCTCAGAGATTTTTCTTCTTCATTGAGCACAATCTTGGTTCTAGTATTAAGGAATGAAGGAACATATGACTGACATGTCAAAAACAGGGTTGGGGTCTTTGTCTTTCAATGCTGAATGGGGTAATAGACCTATTTCCTTTCCAAAGGATTGTGGGAATAATTAATATTTGCTTTTGGTTGATGTTTCATGAAAAATAAATACACCTGAGAATGAGAGGATGAATGGATATATGCAATAAAAATCAAGCTGAACCTAAAGAGTACAGGTAGAGAATTAAGTCTAGCAGGGCTAGTATCACTCTTTAAAGCTCTGGAACATTTAAATTCATATAAGCACTGATTGAAAACACTAGGACAGGTGTATCTTCTCCCAATCATAATTCTAAGTCCCTTTATCATAAACACATCTAGAGTTGCAGGCATACTCATCTTAGAACAGGACAAGTATGCTTAGGTCACTGTGGCCTTGAGTCAGTGTCTTCCCCTCTTGAACTTCAGTTACCCAATCTGTAAGACCAGGAGTGGACTGAATTTTAATAGTTATTGTTTTTTCTTCAATAGGATTTTTTGTGGCTGTTTGAGTCTACATGATTCTTAACTCATTCAATAAGTATGTCTTGAGTGCCTCATGGGTGCTATAAAACCTCGTGGGTTTAATCATCTCAAGTAATGTGTAATGACTATCAGGTAGTGAATAAGGCACTGCTTGTACAACAATATTGTTACAAAAGTAATTTTATTCCTCAGAGTTCTTGGCTTTCCTAAGAATGTCTTCTAGAGCTTCAGGCAGACAGTGGAAGTTCAGGACCAAATACCTACTCTTTTCACAGCCATGGGATCCATTGTTTTTAAATGTATTTACAGCCACATGAGAGTGACAACAGTCCCATTTCCAACCATTGTTTTATGGTTCCGTTGAATCACAAACATGTCAAGAAGGCCCCAAATGACTCAGAAGGCTAGTTCTTATATAATAATTCCAAATATACATATTATTTAATTATGTCCTTCAAATTTGGTTGGGTAAACCATCATGGTTGGCACTTGGTAGTCCTGAAAGCCACCACTGATTGCTTAAGCTAATTCTAGTTACAGTTTCTTTTGGAATAAAAATAACTAAGTTGGGGCAAGTTGTCTCAAGATTCCACAGAGCTGAGCACTTTAAGAATCCCCACCCACTTTCTTTAGTCATAGAAATATTTTCAAATAGTGACATCATTGAGTGAGCCTAGAATGGTAATAAATATTATTTAAATGTGCAAAGAATCATGGAAAAGATCCCAACAGCAATTTCTTATGCCAGCCTGAGCACCACAATTCCAATAAAGAAGTAAGCTAATTGTGCATTATTATGTGTATTGCAGGGTTGAGTGAGGAGAGTTGTTTTAAAAAGTGTATTTGAGAAGCTTTCTATTTAGATCAGAAAAAAAATTAAGATTGAGCAGTAGTCAAATGGCAGACAACTTGAACTATCTGACGGCCAGAATTGCCTTCTGAAGAGAGAAGAAAAGTTACATTTATGGGGTGCCAGCTTGTAATGTACTAGACACTTTGTTCATAATACAAGAGGTTGCTGCTTACATAGGGCTTACTCTATGCCAGGTATTTTAATGCAGTAACTTATTCAGTCCTCATAGCAACCCTTAGAAATAGGTATTGTTTTCTTTCTTTAAAAGAAAAGGTAAACTGGCACTCTAAGTTAAAACATATTCCCAAAGTGACATGGCTATGAATCAGTGAAGCAGAATTCTGTCAAACTCCAAAACTGTGTGAAGCTCCATGTATTATGCCATGCTTTCATTCTCAGAGACCAGAGAGATTTCTGGTCCAACCACTATGTGCCAGGGCCCTGTGATAAGGCTTTACATATATCATCTTGTTTATTCCTTAAAATTCCATTTGGTAGTTGGTTTTATCCACATTTAAGACAAGGAAAACAAGTTCAAAATATTGATGGATTGACAAAGGCCATACAGCTAGTGATTGAGCTAGGATTTGGATTTAAGAGTTGTGTAACTCCAAGGCCAGGATCCTGTCCTCTGGTAACTAGGGTCACATTCCCCAGCATTCTCTTAGCTATGGCAAGAGCCTCCCCAGTGAAATTATCTTTTTTTCTGGAGCCTGTGGCAAAACCTCTGACACACTCCAAGAAACTTTACAGAAAATTTATTAGAAAGGCTTAGAAAGTGGACTGAGATGCCCTAGAATGTGCTCACCAAGTAGGTTGTTTCCCCAGATCTTAGACAGTGATGGAAAGTGTTTCTTTTCTAGTCTTATCAAGGCACTTCTGGGGCCTATTGGAAAGGCAGGGGTTTCCAGAAAAGCCACTGGAAAGAACCTCATAGATCATGTTCAAGATACCCATTGGAGTTTTCCATGTTTGGGAAACACCCCATTGGGGTTTTCCATGTTTAAGAAATTTCCCATTGGAGCTTTCCATGTTTGAGAGCATGGCCTTTGGAAGCATTGCATAGGTTAAAATCTTAGCCTTGCCCCTTGCCTGCTCTGAGACCTTGTGCAAGCGTCTTAACCTCTCTATGCCTCAATCTCATCTTTAAAATGGGATAACAACAGTTCCTACATCTCATGATTTTTATGAAGAGGGACAAAAATCATATTTCAAAATAGTCATGAGGATAAAATGAGACCATATGCCCAAAAGTACTTTACAGATTGGTCTGGATGCTTGTCTAGTGAAGAGAAACTACTGAG